TGTTAATGTCAGGACCAAATTGCTGGAAAGGGGTAAATGAGGCATCCTCAAATTTCAGTTGATGGGTTAGTCTCTGGCTGGGGAGGTGTAGGAAAACATCTCACTCCTCTTCACAAGGACACATCTTTTCCAAGATGTCCTCTACCTAAGTCAACGACTGGCAGTTTTCTATTAGGTATGACTCAGTACCGCTTAGAAATTTGTAAATGGATTTGCCTGTCTCCTCCAGTTACTTACATCTTGTGCTCTCCAAAGCAGGAATACCCAAACAATTAATGCTTTGAAGGTGTGCACACTCTAAACATGTTTAAGTTAACAATGAAGCTGCCAATGAAAGCTTACTTACTTGTACAGGATTTAATAAGACTAATAAATGCTTACTTTGACTTCTTAAAATATTAAATTATATATTGATGCAGACATGAGCAATTTCCTCAGGGTATTTTAGACGCCTCCTTAAAATCCTTGGAAATGGACAAATCGCCAGGGCTTTGATTCTGTTGCTACACCCAGCACTTGAAGTAAAGTGCGGATATTACACTTCAGATTCATAAGACGAAATTATAGGATTTAGTTATTTGCCCCGTGTTTGTCTGCTGACAGGCACAACAGCTGAATCCACAATGAGCTGCTGCTGAGAGGGTGATGGGCACCAAACTGTCTTGCTGGAAGCTGATTGTGTTTTGCCTGTACATACAAGTTACAGTTCCTGCCTTGCTCTGTGCAGAGGCCTACTGACTGGCAAGGGGCAAAAGGCAGTGATTTCTGAATGCCGCAGAGATTAGAGCCGAGTGGGAATTGCAAGCCTCGGTCTTACATAAAGGCAAGTCAGAAGTTAACAGCTGCTTCTGTTGAGGCAACGGCTCCAAGACCACACAGAGCTCCTGCAAGTGCTGCAGCTGCTCTGGCTCTGGAGAAAGTTAGATCCAGTCAGTGCTATCTTCTGACTGCTGGAAAACAAACTAATTTTTTTTTTCATTCTTGCTCAACATGCAGTGGTTCAGCTAACAAAGTGATATGTATGATTAAAAATAAAGAAGTGACATGATAGCATAATACCATATTCTGTCCTACTCTGAGCAAAGGACTCTGCTTGTAATAAGAAGAAAGTATTTAATGTTGCTTCTAATTTTTGTCCCATGTCCATAAGCTAAGGTTATAAACCACCTTTAGCTACTGTTAACAAGTGGTATTGCTTAATTCTTATAAATAGCTGTGTTAATATTAGGTGGTTTTACTGTACGATTGATTCATTGCACTGTATTTCATGGCACTGTCAAGGAAATGTTTTAGCACAGGAAAAGATTCAGAAGCAACTAGTACAAATAAACATACAGGAAGGCATTTTGGCTGTAAGACAAGTACAGATGTAAATATACAATGAAATGTTTGCACAAAGCATTTTGAGCACTGTTAAGTTATTCTGCCGCTATGACTATACTATGTAAAGTCATCTTCATTTTTCTGAGTGGCACAGTGCCATGTTGCATTCAGCCAGACACCGAATAAATTGGCTGCTTCCAGTTTGATCTCACAGCAGATTATTTAGTTTTAATTTTCAATTTGCTTCCCAAGGTAAATATAACAGCAATTAATATGGCAGGGATGGAGAATTCACATTAAACATTGCTGCTCCCCTGGGATGAGCTGATTCAAAGCATGTTCGGAGAGGAATTAAAACCAGAAACTTTTCCTGTGCTTCCTCATGTTTCTTATTTTATTGTTATTGTCAGAAAATGTCTTCAAATATTGTGAACACCGGGAGGGCTGGCGTTCCTCATTCTTGAAACACATCTGCAAATACGTGACTGAACCTGTGATGTGTGCCATCATCTTTCTCATACCTTTTTAAGGTCTGTTATACTGCTGAAATTCCTTCTGTAAACACTACACTGGCAACTGTCAGACCTTTAAAGCCACTGTCTAATTACTGTTTGAGTGAAACAGGTTTTCCTGTAAAACAATACTCTTTTTTTCTGAATTTTAGTTATATTAAGTGCAAGAGGCACTTAGGCTACCAGATCCAAACTTGATGTTTTTATAAAGGAGACCTAGTATATGCAAGGAGTTTTTTTTCAGTATTTGAATCATCTGAAACTTCATGGAATTAGGTGTGCCACTGTGTTTCTTTAGAGATGTGATTTAGGGTGTCTTGTCATTGCAGAGGTCAGGAAGAGTCTTGAATTGGTCACTGCTTGAAAATTGTTATGCCTATTAAGTTGATACTGGTTTGGAACTGGGATATATGTTATCAAAGGACCATCCCATTTGTTTCTGGGAGAAGAAGAACTTCAGGATACTTACAAAATAGTTTTACATGAAGCTTTCTTTAGGAACTGTGTCGTCATTATTTGGAATTTAAAGATCTGTACATTAATGATACGGGTTTTCTACAACAGTATTGTTACTAGAAATGTCAAGGATCTCCACTTTCTTGCAAATCAATGATGATTTTGTCATGAATAGCAATTGGCAGGAGCCCAAGATGATGTCCAGAGCAGGGGCACAGCTTCCGGTCCCCACCAGGGCGGGAAGAGGTTGGATGTGGGTATCCTGCAGCACAAGAGATGGCAGGCTGCATCGCAAAACGAAGCCGCAGACAGCTGCATCTCCAGCAGCTTTGTCGACTCTGGGACCTTTACATCAGTGCCCATTTTGCCTCTGAATAAGTTCTGGCCCATAACCATCTTCTGGGACCTCTCCCTCCTGCTTGGCAGCTTTTGGAGATTTCAGGTTTTCCAGGTGTAAAATAATGGTATCACTTCCTTCACAGAGCTGATTCTACCTGCCTGGATATTTTGCCTACCACATCAAATGTAATTTAATTAAAATACGATATGCTAGCATGGAAGTAAATCCCCAAATAATTCCAGATTATTATAATCTAGAAACAGAGAAATAGTTTCAGAAAAAAACCCCACAAAACCATAAAATCTATTGGTAATTGCTGAAGGTCATTCACATATGTTGTTCTTAGTTTAGTGCAAATGCGGTAAATATTTATTATCTAATTTAACCATTAATTCAGCCTTACATTCTTCACAGAGAGAGAAACTTTTTTTTTTTAAATAGCAGCACATATAAATGCAGCATTACATTCACTGGGAGATGTTTTAAATGTTTTATTATACATTTTTGCATAAAAATGTATTTCAGAAATTATTTTCTTAAAAAATGCTGGTATATTTGATTTTTAAAAGTTTCAGTAGTGTTATTTTATAAATTCAAGATTTATCTTGAAATTTAAGGCCCAAATCAACAAACCACATGAGCATATATGTAAGATCCATCAAAGCCAGAATTTTTTTTAACAGTGGTGCGTGTATGTATTTATGTTACTATTTTTCTTAACAGTTTATTTCAGTACACAGATCAGTCTAACTACAGAAAAGGTGGATTTTTTCTGCTTTTATTTTTTTAGGGAAATAATACAAGGTTATATAATGGCTTCTGAATAAAAATACTTTTACATATATATAACAATGCTTACATTATAAAGAAAAGTGTTATGTATATTTATGCAATGAGAGTGTGGTTCTTGCTTGAAATTTTTCATTGCCTCATTTGTTATACAACAGTATTCAGCAATAAAAAAATACAGCATTACTGATATCCATGCAGTAGAAACAAATGAGTTTCTATGTAGAAACAGAAATCAGAAATATAGGATGTTATGCAAACATTCTACGGCCTCTTGTTCTTAGCATTGTGTTTATTGATTCTTAAAATAATACTTTAATAATTTTGATAGATGTCCCCTAGAAGCTGGCCTGACACCATCAGTATTACAGCATACTTTAAAGGAGCCTTTTCTGCCAAATGGTTTTTTGTTTTTTTTTTTTTTTTTTTTTTTCAGCAGCAGGGCCAGCCAAAGCAGCTTCTGCTTGTTTCTCCTCTTCTCCCCACCGCTCTGTGCTCCTCTGCCGCGGCCATTCATTCCAGCTGTTTCAAAAGAAGCAGCTGATAACCTGTGTCAGGGAATTAGTTATTTTTAACCCTGGTACAGTTGCTGTGTGACCCTAAAAGCCCTTTGGGTCTCTCAGGGGCAGAAGGAAGCAGTGTGGTGCACAAGGCTGATTAAAGCCATAGTGCCTCTGAAAGAAATAGTTATTGTACCATATCTCCAGAGAGGCAAATGTAATACTTCAGCTGCTTCCACAGTTGCCAAAAGCTCTCAAGAATTACCTTGTTAGAGTATTATATGAGGATGAGAGGATCTGATTCAATGAGATACAGTCAATAGAAAATGAAGCCCTTAAGGGAAGAGCCTTTTTCAGATTAAGTCTAACTGAAATAAATGTAACAAACAGGGAACAATTATTTAAATGATAAGTTTGGTCTTTTTTTTTTTTTTTAATGTGTTTTTTGAAAGATATCACCTTCAAAAGCATAAAAATCCCCTGGTGTTTCCAAGCAACTTCAGTTATGCGGTCAAATGCCCATGATGTTAGTTGTCACCAGTAAGTGGCTTTACATGAGGCAATAACCCTTGGTCTTGGGTGGTTTGCTGTTCCAGTAGTGCAAGTACTAACTTTAGTCATACATTTCTTACTACAAAAAGGATATCTTGGGCATCAAGTAAATTGAGATTTAAGTATCCATAACAAATCAGTTTCATTGTGCCGTATCAGGTAGTTTTTAATAGCTGCTTATGAAGAATTAAAAAGGCTTTCTCATTAGAATTCCGCTCTCTACTCTTTCAGAAACCTCATCCATCAATGTGACCAAAGATGTATCAGATAAAACAACCCCTCTGCCTTAATCATTGTAGCCCCAATTCAGCCAAGAACTTAACCATGCTCGCAACTTTAATTACCTGAAGCACTGAAGTCAGTAGGGATTACATGCTTAAAATGGCACATGAGCTTTAAGTGCTTTCCTAGGCAAGGTCCTAGAAAAGCCATTATTTTAATGCACATATGAGAAAACTGGCACGTCACAGGAATTTAAAAGAGAAAGTAAATGTTTTTAATTTTTTTTTCTTTCTTCTTGTTTTGTAGGGGCACACATTTGTTCCTGTGGTGATTTATAGCTACCAATAATCTTCCACAGTGGTCGCCTTATCTACTCTTCTGGTATCTCCTGCTCTTGCTAGTAAACAGAAGGGAACTATTACACTCAAAGCCAAGTACTCTTAATCTCAAGAGAGAGACTTTGTCCAGTATGTTCTGTACAAAACTGAAAGACTTGAAGATCACAGGGGAATGTCCTTTCTCCTTACTGACTCAAAGTCACATTACCGAGGAACATGAGAAGGACGGCACAGAAAACAGCTCTAGAGCAGCTTTGCCCATCTGCAAAGAAGTCCATGAAAAAGATGCTCAAGGAAACCTTCCACAAAGGAAAACCAGCAGAAGCAGAGTGTACCTGCACACATTAACTGAAAGCATCTGCAAACTAATCTTTCCTGAGGTAAATAGATACTGAAGAATAATAATAACAATAACAATAACAATAATAATAACAACACTTTAATAGCATTTAATTATAGATATTAAAAAAGCATTTTATGCCAGCCTTTAGATGTAAGCCTTTAGAAAGTTGGTTTGACTTCAAAATTCATGTTCTTGTCTAGTTCTGCATAGTTTAAATCCTCATTTCAACCTCTTCCATTCCTTCTGGATAAAATTTTCCCACAATCAGTTTTGTACATGCCATCCCTTCCACTGCATTTCCCTATATTTTTGCCTTGTATTTGCAACCTTCCACGGATCATTTTAATTGTTCCTTTTCAATCCATGTATTTCTGTAGCAATTTTTTTTGCAAAGAGATACAATTAGAGAAGCTCTGCCTTGTTACCTAATTATGTAAATTATGTGGTCACCTCATCAATTCATTTAACTGCATCCATACTGCTAAGTACATTAATCATTATCACAAAAGAATTAAAACAGCTATTTTCATCTGCTATGATGCTAATCTCCTGCCATACTATTTTTAAAAACATTATTGTCTGTGTTTACCACAAAGGTATTCTTATGTCTCTGCTCAACTCAACTGAAAACAGCTACAGTGCATGCACAGTGGTTTGCTTGAGTGGAAATGAATACCATGGTTTATCCCTGTAAAAAGAACATGAAAAATGCAGCTCCATAACGACTTGGGCTTGCCTCAAATTCTGTGGGAAGTGTGAAGGAAGTGACTGGTATATATTGGGACTACAAATGGCAAATGGCCCATTCTGAATACTCAATTAATTACAATTCTATTACTTGGACATTCAGTGTACCTTACTAAAAGTGCTGGAGTTTTGTTAAATCTATTTGACGATCTGTTTTTGCAACTGTTCATCTATTACCCTTTTGCTAAAACTCTACATAATCAGTTTTTGATAGACCCCTTTTTACCTCTGCTGTACTTACACAGAAGAAATTAATCCCTTTAAGCCAATCTTTAAGCGTATACAGAAAAGGACTTTTAACTCAAGAATGAACTGGCAAAGCACCCTTTCTATGGTGTCATGGTTGCTTTATTGCTTTTGTAGTATATAGTTGTTGGTGGGGTTTTTAATGCAATAACTGGTTTTTTTTTTTCTTTAAAGAGTGGTATAAATGTATGCAGCTGCCTATTATATAATCATGATATGCTAGTTCATTAGCTGCGACAAAAGCTTGGTAAAGTCAAGGATATTATGACCACGTACGCCAGGAGCTACTGAAGTTCAAGGTTATTGTCACTGCTGTTTACAGTTATTCAAGCCACATTCACTGGAACTTCGTCCAAGTATAGTCATCTGTTCTCATGCTGATTTGGGGTCAAGACCTAAGCCTCTTCCCAATCCTGCTTCTCCACAGAAGGGTTTTGCTTGTTTTAAAACACATTTTTCATTGCTTAGATACTTTACAGTGCCTTACTTAACCATCAGCGGCTAACATCATCTTCTTTCCAATTGGAAACTCCAGAACAGGGGGCCAACTGATTCATGAACTCCTGATGAAAACAGTGAGTTGTGCATGGAAGTTCAGGACATAGCACATCTAGAATAACTTTTGATTAAATTTGAGACCTAATGTAGTGCATGTGATTGTTTTATTTGCTTCTTTGTGTGTTTAAAGAAATATAGAGAACATTGTTTGGAGAGAAGTTATTAATTGGATAGCGTTCCACTTACTGTACCAGTTTATACACAGATGTAATTTACATTGTGTTCACATACATGGCAGAACAGTTTTTCAATTTAGATTTTTGCTTGGAAGAAGTCTCCAGAATATATTGCCTTTCTTTCTCATGATATTTTCTTCGTGCATACAAACTTTCCTTTTGAAAATACAAAACATAAAGGATGCAGTAGAAAAAAACCTAGTTTCTTCAGGGATTGAGAACCAAAGAAAAGCCAGACCACAGCAAGCCTCACAGCCAAATTCAGTCACAGCAGTACAGTGCTATTCTATGGCCCCGTCTTTATGGGAAGTTTGGGTTTCGAATGATCAGAGACTACGTACATACAGCAGCTGTACTGGCCCCAACAATTTGAAATATGCGTGTTTGGAAAGAGTTGTATTCTGTTGCAATTAGGAACTACCAAAAGGATGTGAAACTATGGGATCGAGGTAAATTAAGGTAAATCTTCATGATACTCTAAAGGGTCTTTTATTATGGAATCCTTTTACAAAGGTTATCTACAGTGACTAGATTTTCCTCTGGAGAATATTTGGGTTTGCAGCATACATAGCCAAAATTCTTCTTTTTCTAGAAATACCAAATAAATGGTTCTAACATTTGTCTTGAAATGCAATAGTCTTGAAAACAGAAAAGGAGGTAATCTGAAGCACAGAATGCTATATTGATCTTTTATAGCTGGATTTGAAACCCTGTTACCTTTTGCAATTTCAATCTTGACACTTCTGAAAATTGCCCTGAAAAAAGTTTAACCCTTAACATTCCAGGAAAGGTTACTAGGTAGAAGAGCCACTTTTTACTGTTTTGCTTTGGGTATAATGCAGAATGTAACTGGCTTTTTCTGTTAGGAGAATATACTTCAAACTAAAAAGATTTCTTTCCACATTTTGCATCCATGGTGGGGTGCTTTTTTCAGGGGCAGGGGATGTGTAATAATAGAAAGTTGGGTTAGTTATACTTAATTCTTAGCAGCACTGTCTTTATTGCCATCTGACAACTTGGAGGTAAAGCACATCACTATATTTAAAATGCACAACCACTGGTGCACATGAGCTAAGGGACTTAATTATAGCTGGAGCTGAAGACATCAACATATACAGAAATGACATGCTGTTTCTAACAACTATGCCATCTTGAAAAAAGATGTTAGTCCCAAGGTCAGCGAAGTAATTCTTCTCTTTATAAAAATGTTATTCGTATGATTAATTTTTCAGCAATCACCTTTTTTCTTCCCCAGTTTGAAAGGCTAAACCTTGCACTTCAGAGAGCACTTGCAAAACACAGGATAAAAGAAATCAGGTACGTATGCATAATGGGTTTGCAACCAACTTCACAGCAAAAATGTTTTTGCTGACAGTTCATAAGGACTGGGCCGGTGACCGGGAATCAGGACTTCTGGAATCTGTTTTCAATTATTTTGTCAAATTGGTGTATAACATTTTGTGTAATGTAAGTTAATAATGATGTAGTTTATTTTAAAATATTCACAAATATTTAAATCACTCACAAAGTTGACTCAATGGGCAAATTTAGCCATTTGTGCAGGGAGACAGGCAAGGGCTTTGTTTAAAATGAGCAAATATTTTGCAGGAACTCCGAGACCACTCAGGCATAGATGGAAAGGTAGATATGGTTATGTATGGATCTAGCCCAGTGTTTCTGAGATTCCAGATTAGTATTATACAAATTATACAAGAAAATGTGGCTTCTGATACAGTGAACAATCATATGCTATAGATACTGGTGTACATGTTTTCACTGGGTTCACTTGGCTTCTAGTTTCTGTTTCTGAGGGACTCAGCTTGATTTTCAGCACTTCTTAGTACTAATCCAATATTAATCATTTGAGCCTTGTAGGGAGTGAGAATTTCTTAGCGTCTCATTATACATTGAGGATTCAATTATTGAATGTATCTGAAAAAATAAGCCCCTTAGTTTAAATCTCCTTTCAAAAGTCCAGAAAAAGGATGAAGTTGGAATCTACACTGTTTCTCACCTTGATAACAATAGATAATTATAATGTATCTTTTTAAATTATACATTATATTTTCAAAGCACTTCACATGCGTTGACTGAACCAAAGATAACTGGTCAGATGTGCATTGCAGTTGTTGACTGGCTTATTGATACGAATATTTTTCGTATCTTTAATTATGTGTTGCTTCCTGGAGTATTAGTTTGAAACAAAAAATTATTATGCTATTCTGAATGCTGCAATAATGCAAATGTAAAACAGATCTAAATGTCTGTATTGCTTTTGCATATAAATTTCTGAGATATTTCAAATGAAGACATTCAGAAAGCATGTAACAAAAGCCTATTGCTTATACGGAGGTTAATCTAAGCTACATGTCCTTCTCAAAATTTTCACATTCAGGTTGACATTTATTGACCTTAGAGGGCTGCAGTTTTGTGTCACAGAATCTGGATTACTACCAATGAACAAGTAATTTTGATGTTAATAGTTGTTATTGGTATTTCCTCTCAAAATGGGAATACCTTCTAACCTCTTTTGAATTTAATGCAATGTAATTCCAATAAATGCTTGAATATAAATTCCAATCATATTTTAGAATACATTATGGAATATAGTTATGGCTTCAAGCAAAAAAAAAACCCCAAACCAAACAAAAAACAGGACTGTTGCAACCTAAGAGTTTTTAATCAATGACAGTCTATAGCATTCAGCCTCAATCCATAATCTGAGCTCAGACCACTGAAACTTTAATTAATGCACAGGATAATCTAAGATCTTACCAAGACCCTATTTTGAGTTAATGAAAAACTGCCTATTTGATCAGCAAACCTTGGTCTGTACACATTAAAGACAGGGTAGGTTGCTTCTGTCACTTACTATTTTTACCATGTTTATCTTGATTTTTATTTATATTTTTATGGTCTTTACAGAAAAACTGGGGATAGAGAAGATTTTGAAAAAATAATCAGTGATCATGCTAATGCAGCAGGTAATGTAAGCTTGTTTAATGATAGACATATATAAAAATATGCAGATTATATATGTTATATATAAAAAATAATATATGTATAGATAAATCAGTCTTGTTACTCAGAAATAATTTCCTCCATGTAAGGGCTGCAGTGATGCTGACAACACAGAGCCTAAACACTGATCTCTGCGACTAACAGTTCAGAGTCTCAAAATTTGAGCTGAAGAGATGAGTTTCTCAAGTCTGAGCTGTCATAGAATCATCCACCCCTAAGATGCAACACCTAGAGGGAGTTGTAACATACATTCAGTAATAAGTTACAGTTTTACACTCATGAAAAACTGTTTGATCCATTTCCTCTTCTGAAAGACTGTAGTCTGTTGGAAGAGAACAGCTGTAATTTGCAATACAGAACTCTCTGGCTACATCTGTAATAGTAAATTAACATTTCCAGGAACTGAAACGTGGTCTTCTGTACACTTAAACTGTTAAGCTGGTCCTGGCACACGGTTGGCCTGTGACAGATAATGCTTTTCCAAATGATTCCCAGTAACAGTTGGGGAGTTGGAACATTCCCAACAGTCAGTCTGCATGCAGCTATCCTGTTAAAACAAATTCACTAGCAAAGATGTGAGCTGTTCTGTGCCAATTGGCCTCAGTGCCCTGGAATATTCCTAGGGTCATGTAATTTATTGCATCAGGCATAGTACTTATGTCTGCATGTGTGCACAGATCCTTTTTTATTCTGACTTCTTATTCTTATTTTAAATTTTAAAATTCTTATTTAATGTCTTTATATCAAGATAAAGGAACTGGGTAAACCCTGTGCCAAAACATATATTCATTCTGTCTACATCTCTACAAAGAACCCTGAGTCTTGGATCTTTTCAAACTACAACCTGTTGTCTCCCTGTCTTCCAGGCAACATGAGTATGTCTTTGGTTACAGCAGGACTCCTAAATGAGAGGGCCCTCAGGTGTCAGTGCTGGATCAGGGAAGGATATTGCTAATTCGATTTGGTCGAGCATAAAAATAAAGTGGAGGTTAGCCTGACATTCAGCGTGATGAGTGCAGTTCTGACTAAAATGTGGTTCCACACAGGTGTTCCCGTGGAGTCTCTACAGGAATCTCTTGGTGAAGAGCTATTCAAAATATGCTATGAAGAGGATGAACACATATTAGGGGTTATTGGAGGAACCCTTAAGGACTTCTTGAACAGTTTCACTACTCTGCTGAAGCAGAGTGGCCACAGCCACGAAGCAGGAAAAAAGGACAGACTTGAAGATGCCTCCATATTATGCCTGGAGAAAGATCAGGACTTCTTAAATGTGTATTATTTCTTTCCTAAGAAAATCACAAGTCTTATTCTATCTGGTATTATTAAAGCAGCAGCTCATATTTTGTATGAAACTGAGGTGGAAGTGATGCTCATGCCTCCTTGTTTCCATAATGACTGCACTGAGTTTGCTAATCAGCCTTATTTGCTGTACTCTATAAAAGTCAAAAGTGCAAAACCTTCCTTATCTCCATGTAAACCACAGTCTTCTCTTGTGATTCCTGCCTCTGTATTCTGTAAGACTTTCCCATTTCATTTTATGTTTGACAAGGACATGTCGGTTCTTCAAATTGGAAATGGGATAAGAAGACTTTTGACCAGGAGAGAATTTCAAGCTAAGCCAAATTTTGAAGAGTATTTTGAAATTCTTACCCCCAAAGTAAGCTGCACTTTTAGTGGGATAATGACAATGCTAAATATGCAGTTTACTGTACGAGTCAGAAGATGGGATAATACTGATACGAAATCATCCATGGTAAGAGACATTTTATAATCATTACTTCTGTGAGGAATTTGTTTTCTTCAGATAGAGTTAAAATAGCCACAAGACATGGTGCACTTTGCATTGTCTACCTCTCAGCATCTAATACAACTGAATAATAATGATTTACTGAGGGCATTCTAATGTAATTCAGGTTCTGGAGACAATATTCAGTCAAAACCCTGCTTTAGGACTTTTACACAAGTAAAGTCTGACTGTTAACTTGATTTTATTAAAAAAAAAAAAAAACTGAAATACTGTGATAAACTCAGTAAACTGAGATAAAGCCAATGATATGCTGTGCTGCTAAGAATAAGGCCATCTCAAACACAAAGACAGTGGCAGGGAAAGCTTTACCAAAGTGTCCCTTAGTCATCTGGAAACAACAGCTTTATGATTTGGGGAAAGAAGTAGACATTCCCTGTGCTCATTCAGCCTTTGGTATCTTTGATATTTTTATGCTTTCATCAGATGCAATCACCAAAGGTCCCACTTAGTTTCAGCTGATGGGATTACTTACTATCTTTGCTGAAGCTGGGCCTGTGGCAGTAAAAGCTGGACCTGGGACAGTAAAAAGCATTGAATATTCAATGACTGCTTCTATTCATCACTGGCCCCAACTGAATTCCAGCTTATATACACCTGAGGCACTCCAGCATGAGTTCAGACTCAACCCTCCAAGCACTTAAATGAAGAACAGTAATAAAGGTTTCACGCAGTTATTAATGAAGTGGGAAAAAATGTAGCACTGATTAGCTACTTCATCGCAGATCCGTTTCGGCGCTAGGCAACAGTTCAATGATTAAAAGGGGTAGTAGACTCTGCTTTGCTTTTGCATGTACTTACATGTGCAAATGTCTATTAGCAAGTAACAGGTTTTCTTCAAAAAATGGGCTTTCAAAGCAGTGCTAAGTGGAGCTCTGCAGCACCTTGCACATTACAGAACTGGATACAAAAGGCACATAAAAACACTTCACACAAAATATTTTGCTTTTTTAGGTCATTAAAATGGGATATTTCTGCCCTTTATGCCTTTAATTTTAAATTGCCATTAGTACTGAACATCCTGTGATAAAGCTGAAGCAGATTTTCTCACTTTATCTTAAAAAGAAAGTGGTGCATGAACTAAACACTATTATTAGCACTGGTATTAGCAGAAATTCATAGGCCACTATAGTCAGTGACACTTTATCAATAGCTGAAGATGTACAAAATTCTTCTTTTTATTTTTCTTTTCTTCCTAAGCTAAAACTGATACCGATACCTAAACATAATTAGGTGTTTATCCTTAGGATGTGTTCTAATTTTTGTATTAGAAGGCTCAAGCAAAATAAGCTTGTTTGATGGCTCTATGATTTAGCACCCCATGCTTTCTCTTAAGCAACTAAATGAAAATGTAAGGACTATGGAGCAGTCTGATTTTCCTACATTTCAGCAAAATATATTTCCTCTAAAACTTCTTGCTTCTAAACCATTGCCATGCATGCTTTGCATGAATTCTTGTTTCTTTAACTGTTTCAGGTAATGGATCTCAAAGGCCAAATGATCTATATTTTTGAGTCCAGTGCCATCCTATTCTTGGGATCTCCCTGTGTGGATAGACTAGAAGACTTTACAGGACGTGGATTGTACCTCTCGGATATTCCCATTCACAATGCATTGAGAGATGTTGTTCTGATAGGAGAGCAGGCCAGAGCTCAGGATGGACTGAAGAAGAGGTTAGGAAAGCTAAAAGCAACCCTTGAGCAGGCCCATCAAGCACTTGAAGAGGAAAAGAAGAAGACTGTAGATCTTCTGTTTTCCATTTTTCCTGGAGAGGTTGCTCAGCAGCTGTGGCAGGGACAAGTTGTGCAAGCCAAGAAATTTAATAATGTCACAATGCTTTTCTCTGACATTGTTGGATTCACTGCCATCTGTTCCCAATGTTCACCTATGCAGGTTATCACCATGCTTAATGAGCTTTATACTCGCTTTGATTACCAATGTGGAGAGCTAGATGTCTACAAGGTACACAATTTATTGCATTTCTGTGGGGTTCTGGGGCAGGACAGGAAATGAAGACTAAATGAGATCGAGGATAATAGAAGTCCAAAAATTATTTTGCCCTAAACCTTCATTATAAGAAAGACATATCAATATGTCACAAAACAAACAAACAAACAAAATCAACAGAATCAGCCATTCATGCAGCCAAGAGAGAAACCCATCAAAACTTAAAAGTTAATTTTAAAAATTAATTTCAGTGACAGTAATCTGGAGTAAATAGGTGTTTAATGTAGCTATGGGTGCCCGGCAATAAATAAAAGTTCTGCAATTTTTCCTTTTGAATGATACTGCAGGATTTGCCCAGGAATTAAATAATTTAGCAGGACAAGTAAGACTCAGTCAATGTGTAGGTACAAGTCTTACTGAAGCCACAGACTATTCTTTTATATGTCAAACAGTCTAAGAAACAAATATGCCTGTTTTAGGTTGAGACTATTGGAGATGCCTACTGTGTCGCTGGAGGTTTACACAAAGAAAGTGAAACACACGCTGTTCAAATAGCATTGATGGCCCTGAAGATGATGGAGCTGTCAGATGAGGTGGTGTCTCCCCACGGAGAGCCTATCAAGGTCATATATTTTATTGTATTTTATATGGTTAAAGTGGGCATTTTATTTGTTTAGTTGCTTTTGGGTGTTCTGTCTCAAGGAAATTTCACACCATTGCATTAACTTAGACAAGTTGGGGAGTCAAATTTGTATGGCTGGGGAAGCTGACCTTTTTAGTTCTACAAATTAGAGTTTTGTGGAGAGGTAAAGATGAAACAGAGATCTGAAAATCAACCCAAAAGACTTAAATGCAGAGAAATCAATAGGTGCACATTGGCATGCTGCAGTTTTTGTCTCGGTTGTCAGCAGCATGGAATATTCTGCCACTGTTTTCTAATGAGGAGACTAATGCTCTCTCAAAATTAGACCGAATGAGAACACCCAAGTCTTTTGAGGTAACAGGTATAAATATGAGCAGTAATCCACACATCTTTAAAGGATTCTGTTGCTGTTCTTGTTTTACAGTCAGATACTGAACCATTACCATAAGATAATGGTGTTAATGCTGTCAAAGCAACTGTTAGATTCATTGGTATTTATATTTATGGCTTCCTTTCAATGAGGACTTACACAGGTACCGAACCTTTCATGTAGGCTTCCTCTCACTGAGAAAGAAAGGAAGGGGCCTTTGTGCATGTAGACCTACTAAGTTTGAATGTCCTGGAATGGGATCCTATTAATACAGGTGTCTCAGTTCATTATGTCTTTCATTTGCTCATTTTTAACATTTATCTGTTCAGTTGTTCCTTTAGAAAACTTCAGGCTTCTTTGACCTTAGGTTAAGGAATATTTGTATTCCAAGACCAAAAAAAAAAGGTTATTAAGAGGATTACATGCTCCACATTTATCACAGAGAATAGCCGTATTATATTATAAATAAATGTTCTTTTTATATTTCTCAATATCAAATTAAATTATGCTTAAAAAATCTGGAAACATCTTGACAATATTAAAACATGTTTACAATTTCCATACAAATGCTACATCAATAATTTTGAATCAGACCTGTATATCAATGCACATATTTCAGCCATCTTTGCTGTGTTGGTGGCTTTTGCTTTGTTGCAGACTTTTCTGCTTTTCCACTCAAAATTAGAAATTGTGACTTCTTCATAACGACATGATATTCTCTTGATACATAAAGAGTAGCACACATAGTAGATACGCAAGGTTCCCGACTTCATGCCATTATTGTGTCAGAGTGGTATTCTGAAGAAAACATGTCTACATATGTATAATGCATCTAAGAAAAAGAACACATCTCAAAAAAAAAAGGGGGGGGGACATAGAAAGTAGCACCAGCTAAGCAATACTCAAAAATCTGAGTATGAAGAAGAGGTATCAAAATGTTTCAACTGGTGTATAATTTGATTAATGATCAAATCCTGTACTCTGGGATTCGGATTTATTCTATGTGCGACCTTGTCAATACAGTTCAGTTTGATTTGTCTTTGCTATTCCCTGAGACTTGTCTTCTGACCTTAACAGCAAAGCAAGTACTATTCATTAACTGTCACCAGTCTAACAACGTTGTGTCACGTAATTCCTCCCAGGAAAGTATCCAGGTGTGATAGTAACTCCTGATGATCTTTCTAGATGAATTTTCTGCCAAAGAGACCAGCGTTATCACAGTCATATCAGATGAAGGATTACTTGCTATAAATACAGAGCAAGGTAAACTTCAGCTAGTTTCCTCTCCACAAGAAGCGATGACCAGACTACAGACATTTTAAGGAGACTGCACTAACTCAATTTATATTAGTAGCTCATTATTTCTTTTTTTTTTAATAGAGGAAGAATTTATAAGACTGACTTTAACTTTTTTATTTTAACTAATAATGCTGTTTTCTGTCTTTTATTTTAAGATGCGTATTGGCCTTCATTCTGGATCTGTCTTTGCTGGAGTTGTTGGGGTTAAAATGCCTCGTTATTGCCTTTTTGGAAATAATGTAACCCTTGCCAATAAGTTTGAATCTTGCAGTATACCTAGAAGAATAAATGTCAGCCCAACAACTTACAGGTACAGTGCTTCATATCTGTAAAATATCCACCTGAAGTAGTTACTGTAATAGCTCGTTATCTTGTTCTTTTTTTTTTCCACTCTGAAGTACCATTGTGTGTTTTCCTCTATCTCTTTTTATCTGACTGCTCATGAATGCACCATGGTTATTTTTAGCCAGAATGCAACCAGCAGCAGCAAGAAAAAGGGTGAAACAGAACAGCTGATATTTATTTTTCAGATGTTACATTTAAAATAAATGGACTGTCTGGGCCGATTTTGCTTCTTACCCTGCAGCTGTATACCTCTTGCTTTTTTTTTTTTTTTTGCCTTTTCTCATAGAGTTGGCTCCTCTTTGAGCTATGTGGCTTTCAGTGTGAACGGGATGCCAAACTGGCTGCAGGTGCCCTTGAAAATAACATCATAACTGAAGAATTGTTAAACATCACCCTACACATCTTCATTCTCTTTTGGTTAGGGAAGATGAATGACTAGGTTGCAATGAATCGACCATGCTGGTGTTTAGTTTATACAGGTCTTGATCCCAGCTTAGTTTAAACCTTTCAATATGGAACTTGGCCTGTACCGTTTATCCACTCAGATCAGACATTAGTGATGTGTACTACATGATTACACAGACAGCTAGCAGGCTCTCCCATGGGAAATACAGCATCTTTCCTTTGTCCTCTAAACCTAATACTCTCTTTGGATGATCTGTTTAATTGTACTTAAAATCACCTTGCGACATGTTCATGGCCAAGTAACAGTGTCTTATAGGTGCCAGGCAAAATAATAGGAAATTGTTTTGAATTCAATGGTAGCAACGGTCTCTATCCGAACTCTAGGTCCAGGTCTGAATTCTGGGCCACTGAACTGGTAGAGACTGTTATTTCTCCCAGAGCAGCCAAAAGTTTTGTAAGAATGAACTGTAGGGTGTGAATCTACTAGTAGAAAGTGATACGGCTGGCTGGGGAAAATAACCAGAAATACAGATATAAATTACTTTTTTCCTTTTAAGGAAGCTCTGCTACCCTCACTGTAGCCTGGACAGTCAGTTGTTCCTACTCAGCTTGTACCCACTGTCACATATCAGATGATGCCTTGTGGCAAGGTGCTGCATCCAGCATCAGACAGAGAATTTGGCACAGGATCCTGACATCCCCTGCAGCGTGCACTATGTGACTCACAGGGTGCCAAGCTTTAGATTATCTCGTATAGGTATTTTAGATAAAAGTAGCAGATAGTAGGGCACGCAGTAAGTAACCTTTTCGATCATGCACTCTAAACAATATAGAGATAGCATTAGGATTGCCACTGCTTATGTGTGTCAGAAGAACAGTGCTGGCCAACAGTGATTTTTTTTCCATATCCATATGGAAAATAATTGTGAATGATACTGACTACAGTCTTTGCTTAAAAACGTTAGACACTTTGTCCACACAAGACTTGCCTATAACTTCTGGCATAAGTAGGTTTCTGCATGGCTGTGCATTCGTCTCAAAAGAATATTTGAAATGAGTATACTGTTGATAAAAAAAGATAATTAATTCTCTGAGTTCCTAGAAAATAGGCAATTTGGGTAAAGGGTAAATTATAGTTGTTATTGTTGTGGTATGTTTGGTTTTTTTCCTGAGTGAATGATGTGTTAAGCTCCATTTTGTTTTTTTGTCTTTTTTTTTTTGATTCATACACAAATTCTAAACACATATTTATAACTTTATGGCACCTTGCACAACTCCTGTGTGTTGCAATAGTTGTTTGAAAGCTTAGCTACCAGTCATCAGTATTTCTCCCTACAGATGAGCAATCTGTGTCTCAGATATATAAAATTACTGGGTTTAGTGGACACATGTGAAAAAGCAGAACTATTAGAATTGGTAAAAGGATCTCAATAATTTAGTTAAAAAGCTTTTCAGTATTTCCTTAGCTGAAAGATTAATTATGGCGCCAGTTTCATGTGCAAATCTGAGCTAGCTTTCAGTACTAACTAATTTTTGAAAATACTTAAAACAAGCAGCACCTACACGCAAAATATTGACAAGATGAAAAAAGAGAGGCAATACTCCTGTTTGTTCTGGTATACAAGTTAATAGGTTATCAAATAACTGGGTTGGGTTTTTTTTTATATTTTCAGTAAATAAGATACAAATGCTAGATTAGATTCTGCCCTGCTACATTCTGCCCTGCCATACATGAGGAATTATTGAATGTCTGCACTTTTAGAAACAATTAGTGAATGATTCATTTTTAATCAAGATGTTTCATTTTTGTTCTAGGTTGTTAGAGGAATATCCAGGTTTTGTGTTCACACCTCGCTCAAGAGAAGAGCTTCCACCAAATTTTCCCAGTGATATCCCTGGAATTTGCTATTTTCTGGATGCCTATATTCAAGGAACAAACTCACAGACTTGGTTTCAAAAGAGAGATTTGGGAGATGGCAATGCCAATTTTTTGGGTGAGGAAACAGGAATAGACTAAATTGTGCATTCACAAGTGTATAGAAAAAATTTATAAATATTTTGATTTTTTTGTATAAATTGAAAATTTTTTAAAATGTACGAAACATGAAAGCACTTTAGATTGTTAACACCTGAAAGCCAGTATTAAAATTTCAGGAAGTATGTCACTGACTACTTTTTATTTTTCCTTTGCATAAGGAACATAGTCACTAAAATAATGTTGCAACTTCACTGTTGAAAATGCTACTAAAATCTACATTTTTCCTGTGGTAATTTGTAAGTGCTACGTAACAACTCTCAGTTCTCTCTGTGCTGAGAATTCTAGATGTATTGTACATGCAGCGTGTCAGGAAATGTAATGTGCAAGTGATGCAGCCACATGCAGTGTTGTGAGCTGGTGCTTATCAATGACTATTAAAATATATTTTCTTAGTGATTCTGTAAGAAAATATCCATTAAAATATTGTCATTGCTATCACATACTCCTTCCAGTGCATCATTTGGGCCCCATCCTAGAAGCTGCTGACCGTCTTCTAACACTGACTGGAGTCGATGTGTTGAGGGTGCTCAGCATCTTCTGGATCAGGCTGCTAATTGTAGCTAATACACATAGCAGAGTTTGCTGCTTACTGTTTCATGAACTTTATGTATAAAATTAATATAGATTAAACCACTGTAACACGTACTAAAGTCTCTGTAATCATCAAACAATATTTTAGTTCTTGGGGTTTTTAAAATACTTTACAAGAATAATAATATTCACTCGCTATTATGTATTAAAGCAATAAATGTTTTCTTTTTGTTGTCATTTAAATTTGAAATGTTTTAAAAGAAGTGTAATAAAACATGATTTGGAGTGTTTGCTTAGAAAGGAAATTCCAGCCAGACTATGTAAAATGGAACAGAAGCACACCAGTTTAAAGCTATGATGATCCTTATTGAAGGACAGCAACACGTGATTGAAATGGTATACTCGCTTTAAAGTTGCCAGAGGAATCTACCAGTGAACAGAAATGCTTTAAAACATATGAACACATATATGAAGTATTAATATTACTACAGTACAAGCTTTTCTGTAGTGGACATGAGTGGAAGACTCTCAAGGGTCTGACTCTAGAACTAGCAGAATAGTTTTATGAGTCCTGAGTTTAGGATTCTGCCTCTCTAACTAGCAGATCCATCTGCACAGAAGTTTCTCTGTGCCACACAGTTTGATCCCAATGGGAGGCTGGAGAACTGCACTGCTTACACACATACAAATATTTCCAGTAGTATCAAATATTATTAGTTATTATTCTAACCTCTTAAACTCCTGGGTTTTGGTATATCATAAAAGCCATAAAAGTCTTTCTTCAAGCTATTCACCACTGAATCTCTGAATAGTTACAGGGATCAATTACATTACACTATGGTGCCATTCTGTTCATTTTCTGAACTTGGCTGGTTCATTCTGAAGCTTGATATACTGTTTTATCCTATTCTGCAGCAGAAGCTCATACAGAACATGTACCATCAGAGCCTTCAGAAAAATCCGTAGAAGGGACTAGCACTAAGAGCATTTTAAAAGCACATTTTAATTCAGATTTCTTGTAAGCAGCATTTGAACAAAACTTGAAACGTTGAATCCTGCTATTGCTTGAGGTTTCCTATATCCACCCAAGATGCTTAGAAATAATTCTGTGACACAAAAAATGGAACCTGAAAGTCTCTATATTATATACATACACATCTCTCTCTTGCATTTGCCATATATATACAGGCATACATATTTGTAACATTTTTAACGTGTTTCAAGAAACAAGAACTATGCAAATCTTGGCGACTGATCTTTGCAGTATTATTTTGCTCAGAAAATCCAGTTCTGTTGACAGAAATACCCAGAGGCTAGTAGCAGCCCTGTGTGGGTGCTCCTGGATTTAAAAATGTGGGAGTATTTGACTACTGACTCTTCAGTAGGTTCATGATACTAATCCAGTAATGATGGAAGTCAGTAGGAATCTATCCATCCCTGTCATCTGTTGAATGCTAAAAAACCCCAGGTTTTTAAATAAAAAGGATTTCTTTCTCCATATCTGCCAAATAGGAGGGACTCTTAAGAGTGAATTTCCTTTTGTCCCTAGGAAAAAAATATTGATGGACTGGATGATGGCCATTCTCAAAGCCAGATTTTATAGAAACCTATCATGCAGTAGGATGTTCATCATGTCAGTTCCTGACACCTTCCTAAGTGTGTCTTTGTAACATAAAATGTGCCCTAGAGATCAAATTAATCTTTCAAAACATTACTTTTATAATTCATCATGTCAGTTCCTGACACCTTCCTAAGTGTATCTTTGTAACATAAAATGTGCCCTAGACCAAAGTTCTTATTACAGATGAAATTAATCTTTCAAAGCATTACTTTTATAACTCTATTTTTTTGGTTACACACCCTGGGCTACATTACCAGCTAGGATAGAATTGCTGTAGAATTCCTTTTTATTTCACTAATTTTTTTTCTGAAAAGTTTAAAACATTCCTGTGCCTGCTTCAGCCTTAGTTCAGACAAGAATCCTGATAAGGCACTTAACTGTATACATAAAGCAAAATGCTGGAATCTCAGTGAAGTAAGTAGGATTTAGGCACGTATTTAAGACAATGATAAGAAAGTGCTTTAAAATGTATTTCTGTTCAGACCTGTTCTGCAAAAAAACACCCACAAGTCTATGTTTAGCTTTAAGCTTAACTTAAGAATTTAGGTCTCACTGAAGCTATTCCTGTGTTTAAGTTTTCTGCTGAGTGAATATGTATTTAATAAGGGACAATTATTTTTAACTAATCTCTTCAATTAGATCTTAAATAGTCTTTTCAGTTTTTAACTTATCTTTTCACTTAAATTAAAGCCAAGGGGAAAAAATTAATCAGAAAGCAAATAAGCAAATTGTTGAGATAAACAGGAAGGAAGGCAATTTAGTTGGTACAATACTAGGAGATTTTGCAAGGAAATAAACCGGTTGGTTTTAAACTGCTATCATGTATAGTTTTATGTTGTATGATATTGTGAAAGTCTTCAGAGACTATGAGATGCTATCTCTATAAATATACAAGTACCTTAGTATTATCTTCAGAAACAGTTTTGCTATTATGTGAACTTTTATTTTATTAGTTCATGAAGATTCTATGGGACTGATTCCTGTTCACACACTGCGTGATGGAAGATACATTTTTATCACACTGCAATTTCTTTGCCAAAGAGCTGTAAATGGCCCTTGAAGTATATAAAAAGTGGGTCCTTTTTATCTTAAGAGTGACATAGCTAAAGTAAAATCTAAAGTATTAATATTACTACAGTACAAGCTTTTCTGTAGTGGACATGAGTGGAAGACTCTCAAGGGTCTGACTCTAGAACTAGCAGAATAGTTTTATGAGTCCTGAGTTTAGGATTCTGCCTCTCTAACTAGCAGATCCATCTGCACAGAAGTTTCTCTGTGCCACACAGTTTGATCCCAGTGGGAGGCTGGAGAACTGCACTGCTTACACACATACAAATATTTCCAGTAGTATCAAATATTATTAGTTATTATTCTAACCTCTTAAACTCCTGGGTTTTGGTATATCATAAAAGCCATAAAAGTCTTTCTTCAAGCTATTCACCACTGAATCTCTGAATAGTTACAGGGATCAATTACATTACACTATGGTGCCATTCTGTTCATTTTCTGAACTTGGCTGGTTCATTCTGAAGCTTGATATACTGTTTTATCCTATTCTGCAGCAGAAGCTCATACAGAACATGTACCATCAGAGCCTTCAGAAAAATCCGTAGAAGGGACTAGCACTAAAAGCATTTTAAAAGCACGTTTTAATTCAGATTTCTTGTAAGCAGCATTTGAACAAAACTTGAAACGTTGAATCCTGCTATTGCTTGAGGTTTCCTATATCCACCCAAGATGCTTAGAAATAATTCTGTGACACAAAAAATGGAACCTGAAAGTCTCTATATTATATACATACACATCTCTCTCTTGCATTTGCCATATATATACAGGCATACATATTTGTAACATTTTTAACGTGTTTCAAGAAACAAGAACTATGCAAATCTTGGCGACTGATCTTTGCAGTATTATTTTGCTCAGAAAATCCAGTTCTGTTGACAGAAATACCCAGAGGCTAGTAGCAGCCCTGTGTGGGTGCTCCTGGATTTAAAAATGTGGGAGTATCTGACTACTGACTCTTCAGTAGGTTCATGATACTAATCCCGTAATGATGGAAGTCAGTAGGAATCTATCCATCCCTGTCATCTGTTGAATGCTAAAAAACCCCAGGTTTTTAAATAAAAAGGATTTCTTTCTCCATATCTGCCAAATAGGAGGGACTCTTAAGAGTGAATTTCCTTTTGTCCCTAGGAAAAAAATATTGATGGACTGGATGATGGCCATTCTCAAAGCCAGATTTTATAGAAACCTATCATGCAGTAGGATGTTCATCATGTCAGTTCCTGACACCTTCCTAAGTGTATCTTTGTAACATAAAATGTGCCCTAGACCAAAGTTCTTATTACAGATGAAATTAATCTTTCAAAGCATTACTTTTATAACTCTATTTTTTTGGTTACACACCCTGGGCTACATTACCAGCTAGGATAGAATTGCTGTAGAATTCCTTTTTATTTCACTAATTTTTTTTCTGAAAAGTTTAAAACATTCCTGTGCCTGCTTCAGCCTTAGTTCAGACAAGAATCCTGATAAGGCACTTAACTGTATACATAAAGCAAAATGCTGGAATCTCAGTGAAGTAAGTAGGATTTAGGCACGTATTTAAGACAATGATAAGAAAGTGCTTTAAAATGTATTTCTGTTCAGACCTGTTCTGCAAAAAAACACCCACAAGTCTATGTTTAGCTTTAAGCTTAACTTAAGAATTTAGGTCTCACTGAAGCTATTCCTGTGTTTAAGTTTTCTGCTGAGTGAATATGTATTTAATAAGGGACAATTATTTTTAACTAATCTCTTCAATTAGATCTTAAATAGTCTTTTCAGTTTTTAACTTATCTTTTCACTTAAATTAAAGCCAAGGGGAAAAAAATAATCAGAAAGCAAATAAGCAAATTGTTGAGATAAACAGGAAGGAAGGCAATTTAGTTGGTACAATACTAGGAGATTTTGCAAGGAAATAAACCGGTTGGTTTTAAACTGCTATCATGTATAGTTTTATGTTGTATGATATTGTGAAAGTCTTCAGAGACTATGAGATGCTATCTCTATAAATATACAAGTACCTTAGTATTATCTTCAGAAACAGTTTTGCTATTATGTGAACTTTTATTTTATTAGTTCATGAAGATTCTATGGGACTGATTCCTGTTCACACACTGCG